GAGAGAGAGAGAGAGAGGAAGAGAGAAATACGTGGCTTTTGAGTGGATATGAAGGCAAGTGAATGCGCTGCCGAGCATGAAGCAGAGGCCATTGGGAAATAGAGAGATTAGAGTTATGTTCTGACAAGCATTGGCCACTTCCTTTATGCTGCAAAAATGGTTGGCAATCGAGGGCAAACCGGATTAGATATTTAGAATGTAAACGTCGAAAGTCAAGTTTTCCTTCTAGCCAGCCCACCAATATTTGGGTTTGCTAATTGGGATGGGCTTTTATGGGCTAGTTTCATTGCTTTCCATGATATCATTAATAAATAAAATAAAATATCTTTACTTTTAATTTTTAATCATAAATTTATATAAATTTATTAATTTTAAAAATAGATCATCTATTCTAAATGAATATTTTTTTAAACACATAAGTCCAGTCATTAGCCAATTATTAATATTTTTGTTAGTTTGATAACATGATAATATTAAAAAATAAATTTACTTTTTATCAATTTTAAAAATTATTACATTATATAAATTATATTTTTTTATTTTTAATATTTTTTATTAAAAATCCTCTTCTGCTGCTCCACAAGGAGCACAGATCTAGTGCTCCTTAGAAAGCACCAAACTTGGTGGTCTTAGAGAGCATTAGATTTTATGCTCATTGATAAATCTGGTTGGATCGAGTCAAATTCAATCATGGGGTGGCCAATTAAGGTAGGGGGCATTGTCTATGGATCTAAAATAAGTTTAAAAAAAAGATTCTTTAAATATTTTTAATTTAAATATTACCGTCGTATAGTTGTTTGGAACAAAATGTTTATTTTATAAATTAGTAAATTCATGTGTAATTATAATTAAAAGTTAAAAGTGATAAAGTACTTTACTCTAAGAAAAAATAATAAATTAAAAAAACAGATAAATTTCAACGAATATCATTTTAAAATAGGATAAATTTCTTTTTTAACTTCATGAATATCTTTTTTTAAAATAGGATAATTTTTATGTTTCCATAAAAATTTAAGTAGTTAACTTTATTGAGTAAAATTGAAAAATTTCTATAAATGTTATCAAATAAGTTAATTTTAAATAAAGTATATTTTGATAATTTTATTAGATTAGATAAAATTAATAACTTAACCTTTTATAGGAACACAGTTTATTCATAATGTGCTAACTGATAAAAAAATATCTATAATGTGTTAATTGTGAAAAAAATAAAATTACAAAGTGTTGATATAGGTAGAGTTTACTCTATAAAATATGTAAATAGAAGATTTTTTTAAAATAATTACATTTACATTAATCTAAAAAAAACATCTAAACCAGCTACAAAATTATGAATGGCAAGCAGTTACAAAATAAAATAAAAGATAAATATTAGGAGAAATTTTCAATTACAATATATATATTTCAAGCTTTTTTTTAATAATTGAATTTTTAATATTTATTGGCCATTTGACACCTGCTTTTTGGGCTTATTTTTAGTATTTTTAATATTTACTCACGTAAAAATGGCAACAAAAAGACAACCAATTTGGGCCCTAATTGGGCTGGGGTCAGGCCATGGCGTCATGTCTCTTTCCACACAGCCAGCAGGGGTCCAGCTGCAGAGCAGCGGAAGATGGTAATTAATGAGAAGAAGCAAGGGGTTTTTGGGAAATAAGCAAAACTTTCCTCTGTTTATAAAGATCACTCGTCAAGGTCGGAAACCCTACCTCTCTCTCTCTCTCTTCGAAACTCTGCACTCTCAAATCTAATTTTTTAGTTTTTAAGGGCTAACCTTTTTCCTTTGCAGACTCTCTCGAAATCCTAACCCTAGAATTCCCTTTCCCCTTCCCGCCTCCCCCACAATTTCTCCCTCTTTCGGTTAATTTCTCAGGTAAATCTCCCAAATCTATCTCTGTTTGAAACCCTAATTGTGTTTAGTTAAAGTTGGATGTTGCTTTTTTGTTTTTTGCTAAAACCCTAACGTTTGTTATTTGATTGGGATTTGTAGAAAAATGGGAGAAACAAGGGACAACGATGCCTACGAGGAAGAGCTTCTCGACTACGAGGAAGAAGAAGAGAAAGCCCCCGACTCTGTCACTGCTAAAGTCAATGGCGAGTCCGCCAAGAAGTGAGTTTTAGGTTTCCTTTTTGTTTGAAATGATTTTATTTTGCTTTTGTGTATAATGGTAAATAATTCTTAGGGAAAGATTTTCGTTCTAATTTTGTCATTTCTTTCTCTTTTTAGGGGCTATGTTGGAATTCACAGTTCAGGGTTCAGAGACTTCCTTTTGAAGCCAGAGCTTCTTCGGGCCATTGTCGACTCTGGATTTGAGCACCCTTCCGAAGGCAAATTTTTGACTCTTCTTCCCTTTTTTATATTGTGAACCTATATATACTGTTCTAATCTTGAAAGCTAAAATTTTAGATTGAACTTCGTGGATGGCTGGTTTTTTAGCAGTTTCATTATGTTATCATTTGCCATTCTTGGGAGTTTGTGTGAAGAATGTTTGGTTTATATAATGTACCCTCCTTCTTTTTGTATTTTCAATGTGAATCTTTCGTTTGGTCTAAAATTTCGTTTGATGCATTGGTTTTGCAGGTAATATACCATTATCATACTATTGATTTGGAGCAGTATTATGGTTTGGTTAAAGTTTCAATTAAAAGGATCACGGAGGTTAATATTTTACTTACCACGGGTTCCTTGGATGCAATTTTCTTTGGTTCTTCATCAGTGCAACATGAATGCATTCCCCAAGCTATATTGGGCATGGATGTCATCTGCCAAGCTAAATCAGGGATGGGGAAGACTGCAGTTTTTGTTCTATCATCATTACAGCAAATTGAACCAAGTCCAGGACAAGTTATTGCACTTGTTTTATGCCATACGAGGGAGTTGGCTTACCAGGTAAGAACAAGTTCTGCATCTTTTCTTGGAAGCTTTCTAGTCATTAATTTCCCTTTGCATTCTTGAGGTTATATGATAGATGTCATCTCATTTTATTTGCCCCCTTAACTTGTAGATTTGTCATGAGTTCGAGAGGTTCAGTACTTACCTTCCTGATATCAAGGTTGCTGTCTTTTATGGTGGTGTCAACATCAAAGTTCACAAAGATCTACTGAAAAATGAATGCCCCCACATTGTTGTTGGTACACCTGGAAGGATTTTGGCTTTGGCGAGAGACAAGGACCTTTCTTTGAAGAATGTGAGGCATTTCATTCTGGACGAATGTGACAAGATGCTTGAATCACTTGGTATGGTTTTCTTCACCTGAAGCTGGACAAGTATATAAGTTTTTTAATTGTTTGCTTACTTCTGCTATTCCAACTGGTATTGATTCTTCTACTTATCTTCTGTAGACATGAGGAGAGATGTGCAGGAGATTTTCAAGATGACCCCTCATGATAAGCAAGTTATGATGTTTTCTGCCACACTCAGCAAAGAAATTCGCCCGGTTTGCAAAAAATTTATGCAAGATGTAATGTTCCATGGCCAATACTACTTGAATTTAGAAGTATCTTTTTAATTAATGCCCCGCTTTCTCCGAGAGTTTTGTAAAATTTTACATCTGGTGGGTCCATCACCGTATAGTTGCCATTGGTGTTGCTTGGATGCAGTGGCTTCAGCTAGTCATTTATGGGTTATGCAGATTGAATGGGGAAGGTTAGTGGGGAATTGATAGGCTAGCAGTGTTAGGCTTTTGAAGTAGTTGATCTGTGTTCAACCGATTCTTACTTAGGCTTAATTTTTTTTTTTTATTTTTTTTATTTAGGCTATGGGGTGGGCTTGGAGTGGGGGGAATAAGAAGGGTTGGGTGTTTCCTTGTTTGGGGTGCGATGTCTGTCATGTAATAGAATCTGTGTGTTTGAGGGGGAATAGCGCTTGCTTGCTGTGACTAAATAACGAATCTGCAAGGAAGCAAGGCAGATGGACCAGGATCTCAATTCAAGGATGTGCATCCATAATTCATTTCGTACTGGATTCCCTTTGCTTGAGGAAGCTCCCTAATATGATTTACTGTGACATTTGTTCCTTTCAGCCAATGGAAATTTATGTTGATGATGAGGCCAAGTTGACCCTTCATGGGCTTGTGCAGGTATGTTCTAAGAAGCCAGCTAACCCTCCCCTTGTTTTTTCTTCCTTTTTAGAAGATTATTTGAGATCTATTTCACCAAAATGATCGCAATGACAGCACTACATCAAATTGAGTGAGCTGGAGAAAAACCGCAAGTTGAATGACCTCCTTGATGCATTGGACTTCAACCAAGTTGTTATCTTTGTCAAAAGTGTGAACCGAGCAGCTGAGTTGAACAAGTTACTTGTGGAGTGTAATTTTCCCTCTATATGTATTCACTCTGGCATGTCCCAGGAAGAAAGGTTTGTACCTGTCATGCATCATTCATTCTTCCTACACTATCCTTTTTATTCTTTTGAAAGACTTTGGTTTGTATATATTATTGTAAAAGAATGAAAGGGCCTGTATTTTTTTCAAGGATCCCTGTCAAGGTTTTTGAGGCGTGTTTTTGTCATGTTGTCTTAATACACCAAAAATGGTAGTTGGGTGGGTTGTTTAATTGTGCTACTGTAGATACTGTGGTTTATGCAGTCAGAACCATGGAATATTTACTGTGATATGATTTGGTCAAGTTGGGTTATGCAACATGGTCGTGTTTTGTCGTATATTTACTTTTGTAAAGAGTGATGTAAAACACATGGGAAAGATTTATCGAAAATATTGCCCCTTTTTACTTGATTATTGGTTTTTGAGTTTACTAAGTTGTAATAACATGTTTCCTGTGATCTCAAATTTATGTCTCTTGTTTTAGGGTTTGGCTTGTGTGTCCTATGTCGACTTTATGAGAAACTCTTTAGTTGCTATCCTTTGGTAGTTCAGGGTCCTTTTTTGGGTTTAGTAGGTTTCCTTGGTAAAATATGATAATATGGTTTGGCTTTTTCCAATTAGCTTTGGTGCATAAAATAAGTATCCAACCTTACCCTTTGTTTTAATGGTATCTGACGCTTTGTAGGTTGACTCGCTACAAGGGTTTCAAGGAGGGGCATAAAAGAATTCTTGTGGCCACTGATTTAGTTGGTAGGGGAATAGACATTGAACGTGTTAATATCGTCATCAACTATGACATGCCAGATTCTGCTGATACATACCTGCACAGGGTAGGTTTTGTTTCCACTGCATTATCAAACTAGTCTTGCTCCTGTCGTATGCATATAAGCTCTCTAACTGATGTTGTGTCTTTGGTTTATTGGCAGGTTGGTAGAGCTGGTAGGTTTGGCACCAAGGGTCTTGCAATTACATTTGTATCGTCTGCTTCAGATTCTGATGTGCTCAATCAGGTTTGTATTTAGATCCTTGGAACATTGTTGTTTTTCCCATGGTATGATCCTCTAATCAATTTTTTTCAATCAATTGTAGGTCCAGGAGAGGTTTGAGGTAGATATAAAGGAGCTTCCTGAGCAGATTGATACATCTACATACAGTATGTTTATTCTTAAGTGTTTCATCTGCTTTTGATATAACTTTAGTAGAACGTTATATTGTTGTCAATAATTGGCCAGAGTTGCAAAAGTATTATTGGGGATGAGATAGGTGTTTTCTCCTCCATCCTGCTTCCTTATAATTCTTTTTTCTTTTGTTAGATGTGTGGTCTCGACCTTCAATTTGTGGCTTTCTTAAATTCTTATGATTGATATGTGGATACCCAAGTTTCCTAATGCGTAAAAATGTTGTTATATGTAGTGCCGTCATAATGGAGGTTCAGTCAGCAATAGCAGAGGTCTGGAGCCCAAATGATGAAGCAATTTGTGTGGTTGGTGGAGGCCATGTGTATTTGTTTTTAGACTAATGTGGGAATATGCTTAAATCAGTTTGGAGGGGGAGCAGATGCACGACCATGTGGTTTTGGACTGCTTCTTATGAGTATTTTAGGCTTTTAATGAACTCCCAAGTGGGATTTAGCTAATATCATTATCAATAGGGAAATTTTCCCATTTAGGACATTTTTTTTTGTTGACTATTTGATAGAGTTGCATGTTATATTATCTGTTGTTAATTCGGAGCATAACCTCTTAAATCCCGTTTTTTGGTATATTTGAGTTGCGATTTAGGGTTGAATTAGTTTTGTGGATGTTAATCTTGCTTATTCGTTATGGTAATTGTGTAGTAAGTAACTTTGTGTGTCTTGTTATTAATTACTTTAGTAAAGTCTTTGGTAAATCCTCAAGGAATTATCAACTAGTCTAAATGTTAACATTGCAAGTGCACGGAGAGCCCATCCGTCGTTTATCCAATGGGGGTTTGCTTGTGATTAAAGGAAAGTAATTTTATTAAATTATAAACGGAGGTCGCATGGTTCTGCCAGGTATCTATCGAATTTATTAACAAGGGAAACAGGTTGTTATGGTTAAATTTATCTATCGAATTTAATTAATTTAATCGATTACTTGCTTGTTTCCCTTTTATTAATGAATGGATTTATTATTCACTCATATCTGGTTGATTAATGAATGACCGATTTAATCAACTGATTATATTCACTTGTGCACATTTGTGTCCTGTTGATTAATGGATGAACTTATTATTCACTCATATTTTGTCGATTAATGAATAAACGATTTAATCAACTTAATTGATTAGTCATGTGTGCATTTTTGATTAAATGAATGGATGACCGATTGAATCAATTTAACTGATTATTCACTCGTTCGTACTTGCGGGCTGGGCTAAACGGGGCATGCGTTGAGGAGAAAAAAAAAAAACCAACCGGATAAGAATAGATGGTAAGATGGAAGGAAAGAGACACAAATTTAAACCAACCAACCGAAGAAGAAGATTAGAGAGAAGCTTGCTGGTGGTGTTGGGAACCCAGGTACAGATGGCAGGAGAGAGATGGAGAACAACAGACGGAGACAGAGGGAGGAGAAGGTGGTGGGTGAAGCGTAAAAATATATTTTACTGTTTGAGAGTTGTCAATTTCCCCTGAGATTTGAGGTCCACACAGCTTAAATTTGCCCACAAAATATACCAAAGCATCATGTTGACACTTAAAACCATTAATTGGTTTCTCATGTGCACGGCCATGCAACTTGGCACCTTAACAACAACACATTATTTTCCTTCTAAACTTGTCAAATGAAACATGTTAGTCGGCTTGAGATTCCTTTTATAATTCCATATCAATAATTGATGAATTGCATATCGTTTTTACATGAACAAGTACAACTAGTGTTTGAATCCTTCATCCATGCAAGCAATGAATAAGAAGTTTAACTATTGAAGTCCATTTTAGGTATAACCTATTTAATTCTAGGCTGACCCTTTTTAATTATTTGGCCCTTTTTGTGGCCTAAATACCAAAGATATAAATGCTTTTGCCCAATTAATAACCAAAAGGATGTCTTTTCTAGTAATGGTAATTAATCACCATTTAATAATTTTGTTCATATATGCTAAACACTACACAAATTTTATGACATGGTCCAACCTTTTGTGTATATATATAGTAGATGCAAGGTCACCAGGGTATACCACAGTCTCAAAGAAAAAGTCTTGTTAATTCTTCTTGGATGATCCTTGGTTTCTCATAGAGAAAATGGTGACAACTTCTCTCAATGAGAAACAGTATTATTTCTCTTTGGCTTTTGCTAGACAAGTAGTTCAGGATGTATAATGAGTTCATTCTCTTGAAATTGTAGGGAGTGCTCATCATTTTGCTCATCCTTTGCATTGGTTCATCTAATTTGGGCATTGGAGATGGCCAAAATACTCTCAATGTTCTTAAGTTTGGTGCTGTTGGAGATGGCAAGACAGATGACTCCCATGTATATCTTTGTCCACCATCTTTTGACCTCCTTTTTGGTGTTTTGTTTGACTGCATGTATTTTTGTTTTCTTTATAGGCATTTTTGACAGCATGGCAAGCTTTATGTGGAGCAAGGGGAAGAACATCAACCCTTGTAATACCAGCATCAAAAACCTTTCTAGTATCTCATGTGCAATTCCTTGGCCCTTGCAGTTCAAGCAGGGTACATATTCAGGTAAAAACCTTGTACTTTTCAGAGATTTGCACTGAACGCAAGAAGTATTATTCATTTTGATTCAAATATCTTATAATTTTGTTCACAAAAAATGCTTATTAAATATAAACTTAAATGATATAATACAAATTTTCAACATCAAATTAACTACGTTCTTGCCAAGCCAAATACATTATATATTAAGATTTAAAAAGTAATTCTCATATCACGCACTCCACATAGCACTTGGTTTCTACACTTTCGATTGATGATTGCTCTAACACTAATTATAAAAACCCGCATCCAACTTACAAGGTATTATTAAATTTTCATCTAAAAAATTTCACATTTTTTTAATTTACTTAACGAAAAAAATTCTCACATTTTATTTTTATAAAAGATGCTTTGTAAATGTAAGACATGGCGACATGTACTCATAAAATGACTTCCATAAATATGTAAAGCAACAGATATAATACCAAACTAAAAATCCAAATTATCTAATTAATGGTTATTCTTTAATGAGAATACATATAAATTTTGTTAACTTAATTATGATATATTTAATTCATACAACTCATATACTATATATTACATACCCCATTACTTCATCTATGCAAAATTTTTTTGAGTTAACAGGTGCTTATACATTAAGCATGGGTTAAAAATAATTAAATTACTAAGGCAAAAAGTTTTGACTTTTAATATACTATTTTCATTAAATACAAGAGGATACTATGCTATAATTACAAGTTTCTTTATTTAAATCTCACTTTCACCAATATCACTAAATACCGATTAATATTTTTCTTTTTTTTTTTAGATTAATTCTTAAATTTTGACGTGTTTTTTATTTGTAATGTCACGATAGAATAATATTATTATTAATTGATCCTTTCGTAGCGACTGGTTCATGAAGCTACTACTAATTTTTCCAACCATAGCCATAGCTATTAGCTACCATGTTAATTGGAATACGTTGCAAAACCATATGGACCAGCTAATATTCTATTTCGCCAGGTTCTCGGGAAAATTGTTGCCCCCGAAGCTAATGCATGGAGCGGACGTAATTCTGATTGCTGGCTATGCTTCATGGGAGTGCATGGTCTTGTCATTGATGGTTCAGGCGAAATTGATGGCAATGGCGAAACTTGGTGGAACAAGGTTAATACATTCATTACTCAGTCTTGCATTATATTTTATATAGTAAACTTTTGATTTGACTGACGAGATTACCATTCCATTTTCAGCCTCCGAGTTGCAGAAGACCAACGGTGATTGCCTTCTTTTGACGAAAGAGGTATGCAGACAAAATGGATTCAAGTTAACGGTTAACAAGTTTCCTTGCTGATGTTTTCAGGCTCTACACTTCCACATCTGTGATAACCTTAAACTGAGTGGACTGAGGCACCTAGATAGCCCGAGCAATCACATCACTATACACAGTTGTAATGGGGTATCTGCAACAAATCTTCGCATAACTGCACCTGCTGATAGTCCAAACACCGATGGTATTGATATTGCGGGATCTACCCAAGTTGATATATCTGACTCTTTCATAGGAACTGGTATGTTGGGTCTTGATCCTAGCCCTTTTTCTTTTAAGTTTTGGCAACTATAGTTGGTATTACCTGCAATGAACTAATTTGCCTGCACTCTCTGAAATTGATCAAAGGGGATGACTGCGTTGCTATAAAGGGTGGCTGTTCTAACATCAATATTACTAAAGTTACATGTGGACCAGGTCACGGAATCAGGTTTCTCAGATTCTTTTTTTATTTTGAAGTTTTTAGTTTTTGAAGAAAGAGAAAGATCTTACGTGTGACCTGCAAAATGTTTGTAGCATTGGAAGTCTAGGACAAGGAGGAGCTAACGACCAAGTGGAGCATGTGCATGTGAGAGATTGTACTTTCAATGGGACACAGAATGGAGCAAGAATCAAGACAATACCGGTAAACGTATTGGCATGTTTTCCAAAAGAAACAAAATTTCATGTGTAATTGAAAAAGCTTTAGAAAAGATCACTTTCATTGAACACCTTTTGGTTTTTTGACAGGGAGGATCAGGGTTTGCAAGGCAGATTTCTTTTGAACAGATTACACTAATAGCATCTAGAAACCCGATCTATATAGACCAATATTATTGCAATGGCAAAGCTAGCAGTTGCCCGGATGTGGTATAGTATATAACTTGTTGTTTAGAGCAATACCTTTTGCTAAGTTGATTCAAATCAAAACTGATGGATGTTTTCCCCATGGCATAGGGAAAAGCAACAGCTATTAGTGGTGTTACATACATAGGATTTCATGGAACTTCTGCAGATGATAAAGCGATTAATTTGGATTGTAGTGATCAAGGCTGCACCGGCATCACCATAGAAAATGTAAACATTACCTCTTCCGTGCAAGGACAGCCGCTTCAAGCCATTTGCAATAATGCACATGGAAGAGCTACCTCCACTGTACCTGTCGTCTCTTGCCTGTTACCTTGATACAACATTTATGTATAGGCAAGTTGGTTTTCCTTTTTGACAACAGAAGAAATCTTTATCATTAATTTGAGAAGCCTATGGCAAGAATGTCTCAGCTGTTAAAAGGCTTTGAAGTAGTGAAAGTTGGTCATCATGGTTCTTTTTACATTTCTATTTAAGTAATTGCCTGAGAGTTACATAAATTAAAAAAAAAGCTTGAGAATTACCCTTTATGGCTTTTTGTATGCTATGAACTGCTTTCAAGTTTACTGCAATGTTGATGTCTATCCCTCATACAGAGAAAAACAAAGCAGTTCCTTCTAAGAATAGAGTAAAGTTAAAAATGTTTAACGGATGTTCATTTTAGTGGCCTTAAAAAATTCCTGATTCTCTACAAGGAACAATGAAATGAAGAACATGAAAGAGATATAAGAAACAGCCCGAGTCAAAATTCAGGTTTGAAACTGGTAATGTGAGATTCTGGTCCTAAGCCTGGACAATTTTAGAAGGTAGTCTAAAGATAAAGTAAAACAAAGAGTTTACTGCTTATCATGACTGGGATAAACTTTTCATGAAGTCTTAAAAATTCTTTCAGCATACATGATACTCATCTCACGTTGGGTATAAATGTGATTATTAACATCTATATGACATTCTAAATTAACCATTACTAATAACTTGAGTTTATGTCCGAAAATTATTAGGCCAGTAATGCTTGGACCTGGATTCTCTCAGCATTTATATTGTCTTAGTTGTTGTCATTAATTAAAGAACTCAACTTTGTCATTCTTTGGCTGTAATGAAAAGTTGTGGGGTAGGGAGAATAGTACAAGTTTAAAGTACTGTACTTTTGAGACTGTACTGCTCAAGAGACAATTAGACTGCATTCAGAAACAGAAAAGAAATCCCCCCACATGCAACTAAGAAAAGCCTGCAATTCCAGTTTTTTTTTTCTTTTTTTTTTTT